AAGATGTGGCTTTACTAATGCTCTATACAACTGTAACAAAACATAATTACTTTTATATTCCATTCCACCTGAAAGCGCAACTCCATTCCATTTGCTTTCCTAATAACTTGCTGTAGTTGTGAATGAACATTTTGTGATTCACATACCAGGACACACTGATCCCTTTATACTACACAGTTCTGCAATCTCTCTCCATTTAAACAATATGTTGTTTTTTTTATTCTTCCTGCCCAAGTGAACAAGTTCACATTTTCCACATAATACTCCATGTACCAAATTTTTGCCTTCTCAGTTAACTCGTCTTATTCTTTTAAAGACTCTTTGTTATCTTCACAATTTGATTCCGAGCCTATCTATGTATCATCAGCAAATTTAGTAACATACAGTTGGTCCCTTAACTCAAGTCATTGATAAAAGTAGTAAATAATTGAGTGATCACTCAGGCACACCATCATCACATCACGCCAACCAAAAAGAACTATTTATGCCCACATAAAAGCAAGGAACTGCAGATGCTGGGGATCCAAAATAAAAAGAATTGACTCAAGAAACTCTTTCAAACGAAAGTCAACTTGAATTTGAAACGTTAATTCTGTTTCTTTTTCTACTGATGCTGCCAGACCTGTTGAGTTCCTCCACCCTCCTGTTTTTATCTATGCCCACACCATTCTTACTGTTAGTCAACTGATCCTCTATCCATGCTAATATATTTTCTTTGCAGCAATCAGATTCCATTCACATTCCTACATTAAGTGTTGCATTCCCTCAATTTCTGGATGGAAGATAAATTGGTCTCCATATTATATTTATTACAGATTTATTCAAGGCAGCCAAAAGATTTCCCCTTTTCTTCAGCCCTATTTTGCTCCACTCGCTAAAAATATTTAGACCAACATTACCTTTCCACAAAAAAGTGTTGTGGGGGGATAACTTTCAATGTTATCACTTCCTGTAGCTCATGGTGGTTGAATCCTTGTCATTTCCTGTGCTTGTATTAGGCTTAGGGTCATCTTTAATCCCTTTATTACTTCAAATCAGACTTTGTAAAGTTGATATTTTAAAAGACCTCAAAGTGCTCAGATGTGAAGATTATCTTTCAGTTAGGTTATTTAGATTTTTTTCAATTATATTGCAAAGTAATGCCTTATACTGATCCTCTTTCATTTTAGGTTCATGATGGGAACTAGTTGGATGGAACTTGCCTGACAAAATATTCCAAAATTCACTAAATAACCCTTTTTAGGAAATTCCACATGGTGCTTTACTGTTCTCACTATACACAGTAGATACATCCCTTGTTTAGTTCAACATGTCCTGCAGCTACCTCTGAAACTACCCTTATCCTCCACGGTTTGTGACATGTAGGGTCTCAATATCAGCACCATGCACACCAATCCTAATTGAAACATGGTTTGATTTTGTGTTTCTTGTTTCTTTGTCTGCAGGTCTGTCAATTCCCCTTTATTAAAGTCACCTTGCTACTATCTTCTTCAGTCCTGCGATCAAATCCAAAGTAAGAATTTCATCTGATATAGTAGGAACTGCACATGCTGGAGAATCTGAGATAACAAGGTGTAAGAGCTGGATGAACACAGCAGGGCAAGCAGCATCAGAGGAGCAGGAAGGCTGACATTTTGGGCCTAGACCATTCTTCAGAAAAAATTTCCCCCTCCCACCATCTTATCTTCTGCATATAAACCGACATTTTCCTAGCTACCATCAATTCTGGGGAAGGGTTACCGGACTCAAAACGTTAACTCTGATTTTGCTTCACACATGCTGCCAGACCTGCTGAGCTTTTCCAGCAACTTCTGTTTTGTTCCTGATTTACAGCAACCGCAGTTCTTTTGGTTTTTATTAGGCAATAAATGGTAGCCGGCCAGTGACACCCACATCCCATGAATGAATAATAAGAAAAATCAACTTTTTCAGGGTATTCTGTTCTCCTTATTTTATTAACTAGGACTGGCTCCGTTATTTTCTTGGGGTGCAAACATTTGTCAGTCTGAACTGGGCTCACCGTGTGTGATATAACATGCATAACACACACACACAGACACACCAAAATGGTTGAACATGATTATGAAATTTATGTAACAGAGAAAGAAGGTCATCATGGGAGAGATTTATCCACATGGAATAATTTTAGTTCATGCATGGTAAGAGTTGTCGAATTGTAGAATCATGGAAGATTTTCAGAAGGAGGCCATCTGGCCCAATATGTCAGTGCTAGCATTCTGCAAGACCAACTTGTTATTTTCCACTGCTCTGCACTTTCCCTGTGGTCCTGAAAATATTTTTTATTTGGATAGAAAAAAAGGTGATGATTGAATCTGCTTCCACCACACCCTCAGGCAGCACATTTAACCACTTGTGGTGTAAATAAAGCTTTTCCACATGTCACATGATTCTTTTGCTAATTGTATAAAATAGCATCCTCTGCTGTGGGAGTTTTCTAATAATTGGAACATGCTCCCTCTATCTACACTGTCTCGACCACTGACCATTTTGAACACCTCTATCAAAGCAATGCTCAATAGTCTCTTATAGAAAGAGAACAGCCCCAGTGTCTCCAATCCATCCGTGCAAGTGAAGGATCTCATCTCTGGAACCACTCTCATGAATCTCTTCCACTCCTTTTAACATGCCTTCAAGTCTTTCACATGCCCTGTCGAATTACCTCATTCAGCCTGCCTACCAAAATGTGTCAATTCACATTTCTCTGCTTTAAATTGTATCTGTTAGGTATCTTCACATTTCACCAGCCTGCCTCCGAACATTGATGTCGAACAGTCGGAGGTCTATTGGATTTTTCCGGTTATATCAATGATAGACAATTATAAGATAAGAAGCTTTAAGTTTTATTTTTTTAAATAATTTTTGGCTTGTTGGGTTAGGCCGCGAATAAACATGACAGAAAATTCAACATAACTCTCAAATTGAACTACTTCCAATAACAGTTCATTCCTGGTTACAGCCCGGAGGGGGCAAAAATTATATGTTGCTCAGAATGAGCGTTTCATGCAACAAAATCCCGTACAGACGGCGATCGGAAAGGAAACTATTATTCTAGTAATCGTTCAGTAACATCTACCCTACCAGTAGCTCCAAAATGTTGAAGAGTGGAATCTGATCGCGAGTAATTCCTACTTTTGGCTAACACCCGCAGTATTTAAGCATCGCCAATTGCACAACTTCTGGGGTGTGTTTTGAAACTGTCGCCGAATTTTAGACGATTTCAAGTGAATACTGTAAGCTGCCATGTGGCTAGTTGATTTGAGACTGTGTATTGGGTGAATGCAGTGAACTATCCTCTCCAGATAGGCAGGTACTCCGTGCTACAAAAGCATTTCACGGAAATATCTTAAGGGGCAAAGTTCACTGTGATTCAAGGTTGAGTGCGGATGAGTCAGAAATGGGGCAGGAGAGGAAGATTGGCAACAAACAGTATTACCGATTACAGGGCTGTGACAATTACTGGCGCTCAGTTCTCTGAACTGGAATGGTCAGAGATCACCACGCTGCCCTCCAGCAATCGAAAATCTATTTCAGAGTTGTCTTTGGCGCGGGGTGGGAGGGACACAGAAAAATAGTATAAATCAGACTAAAATCAACTACGAATCATTGCACAACAGAAATCCACCATTCTATCCAAGGACATGGATGAAGTTGGAGGTTAACATTCTAGTTGCTCAGTGGGATGGTTTGATTGGAGTTTGGGAACCAACAGCGTCACCAGTGGGAATGGGGATTAAATGTGAGGCTGGGAATTCTCTCTCTCTCTCTCTCTGGCTGATCTTTCCTTGTTGCTGATGTGCAGACGCCGGTTGCTGAGCAGTCAGCTTTGACTCTGCGGCCAGACACCTCCTGCCGAATGGTGTTTCCCACCCAGGGCCGGTTCCTTTCAATGAAGTGAGAGCGAGAGCCCAGCGCGGGTAGGCAACAATAGCCAGCTCCAGCTCAGCACGGAGGGCGAATAGCAGCAGCGGCGTCTGGGAGGCTGAGAGAGAGAGAGAGTGTGAGAGATACATACAGAGTGTGTGCGTGAGAGATAGAGAGAGAGAGTGTGTGTGAGAGATACATACAGTGTGTGCGTGAGAGACAGAGTGTTTGTGTGAGATAGAGTGTGTGTGAGAGATAGAGAGAGTGTGAGAGATACATACAGAGTGTGTGCGTGAGAGACAGAGAGAGTGTGAGACAGTGTGAGAGATAGAGAGAGACAGTGTGGAGACTGTGTGTGACAGTGTGTGTGTGGCAGAGCGTGTGTATGTGGCAGAGAGAGTGTGACAGTGTGTGTGACTCTTTGTGTGTGTGTGTGTGTAAAACAGAGATTGTGTGCCTGTGAGACAGTCTGTGTGTAATAAAGAGTGTTTTGTCAGAGAGTTTGCGTGTGTGACAGTGTGTGAGTAAGTGTCTGTTTGTTACAGTGTGTTTGTGACAGTGCGTGTGTGTGACAGTGTGTGTGTGTGACAGCGTGTGTGGCAGACAGAATGTGACAGAGTGCATGTGTGTGTCAGTGTGTGTGTGACAGACATTGTGTGTGTGACAGTGTGACAGAGAGATTGTGTGTGAGAGAGAGAGATTGTGCGTGTGTGTGTGTGTGTGACAGACAGTGTGTGTGACAGTGTGACAGAGAGATTGTGTGTGTGTGAGAGAGATTGTGCGTGTGTGACTGTGTGTGTGTGACAGTGTGACAGATTGGGTGTGACAGAGATTGTGTGTCGGTGCGTGTGACAGACAGTGTACGACAAAAATTGTGTGTGTCACTGTGTGACGGTCTGTGACAGAGAGATTGTGTGTAACAGATTGTGTGTGTGTGTCAGTGTGTGTGTGTGTGCCTCGCCATCTCACAGCCCAATGTGCGTTTGGTGCAGCAAGGAATGACAGGATTCCCGAGTGCCCAGGCAGGGTTAACATGGAACGGGCCAGAGTCGCCGAGGGCTGGATCTCAGCAAATCCTCTTCTTTGATTTCGAGTGAAAGAGAAAAAAAGCTACCAGAATGACCATGCGTTGCGGTGCGAATGTGTTCTTTCGGGAGACAAAAGCTGCACTTTGCTTCCTGCTGTCCATCCTTGTAATTCCCTCGCAGAGCTCTCAACAAGTCCTCCGAATCGGTAAGTTGCCACTAACTTGGTCACATTAATGTTTCCGGCACGTTGGGCGGAATGCTCCCAGTGTTAATGTCTCCTCAATATCCAAACTAAGTGTCTAGCGAGCCTAGTGTTTACTGAAAATGCGAATAAAGTGCGAGTTGTGGGTATTTGCGAGTAGCTGCAATTGATGCCGTGGACCCTGACCATAGACAGAGAGTGTGTATGAAAGTTGAAAAGACTGACAGCAGCATCGTCTGGATCTTTTCCTTCCGCCAACTTGGGATAGGGAAGGTGCTCAGTCAACACAGTGTGGAGCTGGAGGAACACAGCAGGTCAGGCAGCATCAGGGGAGCACGAAAGTTGACGTTTCGGGTCGGGAGCCTTCTCAGTCAAGCTGCTGCCTCCCAGGAGGATGCGGATTACATAAAGAAATGAGTCTGGTTTTGTGCGTTTTTAATGACTTCCGCGCTGAGCACATTGTGGACAGGCTACTGCCTTCTTCCTCCTGGGGAATTTGTGTTGTTGTGTTTGTTCCATGATTGCTGCTGTTTCACAGTTAAGGCTGTAGCAGAGGTGAGAATGGAATACAGCAAGTGGGTCATGGACTGGTGTCTGGTCAGAGCTGCTACATTCCAAAGGCTAAGAGTGAGGACATGTGTTTAAGTTCCGGGTTTGTTTGGCTGTGCATTTCAATAAGACCAAGGCTGGAGCCTAGGATGGCCTTGTATAGACCCCAAGTGGGACTGCATTCCTCCTTGCTCAGACCACCTGTTACAGATTGCCGACAATATGTCTCAATGATTCTTTAATCTTAAAACCTGCGTCCTGGATTTACCGTGAGTCAATCTGTTGAATATCAGTCATGCCCCCCCACCCCCCTCTCAAGAGTGCCCTATAATCTCAGATGCTCCTTATGGCTTCGTTTCGAATTAACTCCGAACTGTCCGGCCACAGATGTTGATGGTACATTTGCCTTTGATTTTAGCTGATAATATGCTCCAATCCGTTTAAGTTGGGCTCTGTGAATCTCCTTTTCTCAGTAATGCTTGACTTGACTCCTTTCCTCACGACACTATACTGAGCAAGGATTCATCCAAACCCTGGGGCAATTGTAGATTGCTTCCACTCAATATTATCGGATCTGGCGTCCCCTCCTCAGTGAGATCGAACGCATTCAACTGAAATGATTTTATTTTTCTCTCTCTTTTCTGAGGAGTTCGATTACTCAGCAATTATCCGGTAAGAGCAGTCAGCAGAATGGACAGCTCCTTTACTTCCCTTCACTAGAGTGAAATCTATGGAGGGGTTTGGAGGAGAGAGGGAAATGACTTGATCAATAACAGCACGAGGAACTCCATGCAACGGTTGGTTGGTCAGTGCTCCAAATCCTTTCAGTATTTGGAGTGTTCAAATCTCACCATCGTACAATCAGGGATTTTTTTTTCTTCTTGGTATCATAGAACCTAAATTTGCTCTTGTCTGCAATATAAAAGAATATGACTTTCCTTTTACTAAATCTATTGGTTTTAAAGTTTTTTGCCATTAAACATATCACCCCTTTTTTAAAAACAGAAATTCCAACTATATCCATCTTATTGATTTAAAAGAAATTTAAAAATCACTACTTGGCAGTTAAATAGGGCTAATTCTACTACTTTGTTTGTTCATACAAATTATATTGGATTTAAGGAGTCATTCCTGCGCTATTTCATTTGTAACATTTTCACATATATATTGAAAAAGATAGAAAGGTCCAATGCTTTAGCTATTACTGTTCATGAGAGGGTCATTGGGTAGTTTTGTGTTCGAATAAGTTCGAATTACCTTGATTTTTGAAAGGAAGTTAGTCATGAATAGTATTGAATAAATCTCTGAATTTGTGACGTTCATGCGCTAAACATCATGACCAGGCCACTAAAGCATTGCTGTCAAAAGGCTCTTTTTCCTACTTGAGGAAGTCCTGAAATCAGTTGAATTGTAGAAAATAGGTACCAGGTAGCTGCAGTAGACAACCCCTATGTGCAGGGGTGGCAGAGAAAAAGAAATGCTGCAGTGATAAACTTCCCACCAGATGGAGCTCCTGACCACAGCTGAGCTGTATGGGGCAAGTACCAAGTGGCAATGATGCAAGGTGCTACCCGAGGAGTGAAAGAGACAGGTTGAAGGAATGCTGCTACAGTTATTTTCCCAACTGATGATTCAAAAATCTATGACCAGAAACTTAAAAGCAGATCAGTTTCCCATCCTTTTTAACTGTGACGCAGCAAATGATCTTGAAGACCGTGGATGGAAAAGTGCTGAAATACAAGACAGTTGAAACATAACAAGATATCATTAGGGAGCATGGCATGATTGGTGGAGCTGATTGGAGACGAAATGGGTGTGCAATTGAAATGGAGGGGGAACAAGTGCACAGATGAGATACCTCAGAGAGAATTTCTTACATGGATCATATTGTGAAGGGGAATGCTTGGTGTAATGGTTAAGCATTTTTCCACGTGAAGGAAAGAAAAGTCAAATTATAGTCTGAAGAACTGCGCTGGTGAAAATCTGAGATTCAGCATTTGAATTATATACCAGAAACAGATCATGGCAATGGAAAATAATAGAGAAAACAAAAATAAACTATCTAGAAACAGAGATAACAAGATGTAGAGCTGGATGAACACAGCAGGCCAAGCAGCATCAGAGGAGCAGGAAAGCTGACGTTTCGGGCCTAGACCCTTCTTCAGAAATGTCATTCTTCATT